CCTATTCATGGGCCTGCTAGGATAAACGGACCCCGAAGGAGTCCTCAGTTGATCATCCTCGGCCCTAATCTTTGACTGATACCGATTATGTACGTCGGCCCAAGCGACAGCCAGGTACTTAAGTAAACTTTGCTTCAACTATTGTGAAGCTATGGAACTCCGAGTGTTGAGACCTTGAGTGAAAGCTTGAACAGTCCAGTCATCGGTGACCGGAGGCAAATCTATCTCTCCGCTTGGAACCGAGATACGAATTTCCTAAGTATCTCGTTATCTTTCTGCCTTACCTTTAAAAGGTCCGACTTCCTCGTTGCAATTTTAATGGCTCCGGCGTGTGCTCTTACAAAAGAAACTACAAGCATAGTAAACGAATCAATAGAACTAGGAGGTAAGTTATGATACCATGTTAAGGCACCCTTAGATAGAGTCTCCCCGAATTTCTTCAGTAGTATGGATTCAATTTCGTCATCTTCCAAGTCGTTCCCTTTGATGGCGCATGTATACGAGGTGACGTGTTCATTCGGACGCTTGTCTTGTTATACTTGGGAATCTCGGGCATACGGAACTTCTTGGGGATTGACTTCGGAGCAGCACTAGGGGGTAGGGTCTTTGCATGAACTTTTTAGAATCTAGTCCTTCCAATATCGGTGGTGCCCCTGATATTTGGTCAACTTGGGAGTTGTATATTTCTACTTTTTTGTCATTATCCTCAATCTTTTTCTCTCCCGACTTGATTCTTTTGGTGAGCTCCTCGAGCATTCTCATAATCGTGGGATCAGTCCCTGACCTATTACCATTCGATCTTTCTAGCACCGGCTTGGTTCGGCGAGTGATTTCTGGTTCGACCACACTTGGAGTTTTATGTTGGCTTTGAAGCTGAGCGATAACAACCAGTTGAGCATGTAGCATCTTGAATATTACCTGGAGACTAACTCCCTCGTCTCCTATACCTTGCGTTCCTTGGCCACCAGATTGGGCTTCCCTACGTACGCTTCCTCTGGGGTCCGCGCCTAAGTCCTCATTCAAAGCAATGTGTGAACTAACGTCGACTGGTTCTAAAATCGGTACCTCCCCAGGGTTAATCGGTGGTACACCGGCTCCCGGAGCAACTACATTGTTGTTTTCCCCGTGAAATCCAAGACCCTCATCGCCATGGACGGGTGCATTTGTGAGTTTAACATGTTTTAACCTGAGAACAAAAATTCTTGACAAGAACAAGTGTGAAAATAAAGTGTGTTATCAGAATCAGTACTGAAATAATCACTATTATCTTTAGCCCCACGGTGGGCACCAAACTGTTTACCTCAAAAATACTAGTAACAATTAAACTTGTTTGTGGTTTAAAAAATTACGTGATTTAGTTCAATACTAATTAATAACCAAGAAATCAGAAGTATAAATTAAAGAAGAAAGTTGAATCAAACCAGCTCTTAAGCAAGTTTGGACCTCGAGCTAGACTGCCTCGAGGTAGGTAAGCACGAACAATAAAGTTAAGAGACAAGTCTGATGAATAATGAGCAATAAAGTAAGAGAGTATATTCTTTGCTAATGATCCCTCCTTACAAAATGATTGGGGTCCTCTTTATATAGAAGGGGAATCCTAAATAAGGTACATTTCTATTTACATTAAGGAATCTTATTGGGACATCTGTCTAACCTCCTAGTACGGATTCGTACTAACTCGTACAAATCTATTCCGAAATTTATGCCATGATCTTGGGGACGTGGCGGGAATCTTGTTCTTCCCGTTATAAACCCATAACGGCATCATCTTAGGGTTGGTTATACTCGGCTTCGGTGCCAATCGCGTACTTCGATCCTCGAGCCTTGTACACTGTCATCGGGCTCGATCTCGGTCTATCGAGCTCGAACTCGATCCATCCTGAACTCGGGCTGGAGGTGACTCTTTGAGCCCATGAAATCGGGCATACCTGATTTCGACCGTATATAAGACTAACATTAATTGTAAGTATACAAAAATTTCTTCGAAAACACTCTTCAGTTTGTAATATTCTGATCATTAATGAAATATTGTTATAAATAGAATTGTTTTAATGTGAATGTCTATATTATAGAGAGATTCTAGGGTTTGTTACTTGGTGGCTAAGTTACTTTTCCCCTATAAATAGAGGGGTTCTATTCTATTATAATTAATCCCAAAATCAATAAGAATTCTCTCTCCCTACTTTTCTCTGCAATACTCTTCTTCTTCTTTTATTGTTCATAACACGTTATCAGCACGAGACTCTAACCAATTGAGTAGAAGCTTTGGGATTGAGCATAATGATTGTCAATTGTTCCATGAACTTCCTTCGTGATTAAATTCTGGATTTAAGGTAAGTATCTTACTTTATTTTTCTCTTTTAAATTCTTAAAATTCTATAATTTGATTTTAAATACAAGCTAAGACAATAAATTTTGTTTGTAACTCTAGTGGAGTTTGTAAGAAATTATAACCACCCAAAGTGGTAAAATTTCTATGTCTTGCCATGATCAAAGCCATGTATGATCGTGAACACAAAAAGTGGAAACCCGTCCCATTGAATTTGCTTCATTCTCATTCCCTTAAGAGAATGTGTTAGCAATATGTGATAAGTCTGAAAGAAGATAAAATTATTACCGTGAAGGTATCAATGGATGTGGACGTGGCAATAGACGAAATTATAATCGTCATCATTGTGATAATGAGAACAACAAGGATTCTCAAAATAATCCTTCACTCTGTAAAAGTAATATTTGTCATCGATTTGACATGAGATTTTATAAAGCACATATAGATGATTATGGTCCATTCATGATGTGAATGTGACAACATCTGATTTATGAATACATATTCATTGTTGGAAGAATATGAACATGCTAGTAGTAGTGAATATACCATACTCACCTCTAGAAGGAGGTTTGAGATGATATAAGAAAATAATATCATTATTATGGCATGAATGGTCATTGGTCACGTACCTATTGCACGCTAAAATATTTTGGTAATGTGACTATTAAAGAATAACATTAATGCAAGAAACATATCTTGCATATAATTTGACCATAACCATAATGATATAACTTTCTCTTTAAAAGAGATATTCATCATATGGATATTGATGAATATGTGATAGTACCAAATTAATTGAGAGCTCTGGAAGAGCCAATTATTACTATTTTGGAGGAATAAAATTGATTATCAATAAGGTGTTGTGTTGTAGTAAGTCTCAAAGAAACTTAATTGAGTTTCTAAAGTATTCGCGAAAGCGGTTGGTCATACTGAGACTATAAATAAAGGAAAGATTTAATATCTTCTATTACTACAACTTGTAGCGGGGTAATATGTATGTGAAAAGCTACCCGCTTTATTCTCCAGTTTGTACTACACAAACAAAAGAATGCCACAATAAAGAGAAGTGTATTGCTGACCCAAAGAAAGTAACTATATTCTCATTGCAAATGTTCCTATTATGTCCTAGAAGGACAAAGTCTATGGTACGCTTGAAGCGTATAGACAAATCGGTTTCAAATAAACTTCTTGATAAAGAAGATGAGCAAATGATCAAAATGATCATACTAAAGGAGACAAGTGATCTAGAAGATCACATTACATAATACTTCATAAAATCTCAGGGGAGATTCAGGTATCTGAAAATATGAAGGAAGAGATGTATATGTTATGTCTTTATGAAAAAAAATTTGGAACCGATATAAAATATTCGTCGACGACATCTATGATAACGTTAAGTATAGATGAGGATCTTAAGGTTGTCGAGACAGACACAAAAATATTGGTCAAATAGACGATACACAATTCAAATAGAATTGGTTTAATATGAAAAACATGTAGTTTTGGACATGTAGTTCAAATACTTGAAAGTATAAAGTCAATGGTATGTGCAATCAGTTTTCGATATCTTATATGTCTAGCATAACATAAAAACTTGATATGCATCTAAAGTCTATTATATGGCTTATATGACTTAACTTATATGACAATTCATAGAGGATTTAAGTTGCTTGAAGCATATACAATTCTTGATCTTGAAGTACCACTTCCTCAGTACAATTTGTGCACAAATGTATCTTGTTATAACTATAGGCATGATAACATGATAGCAAGAGTTTTCACCTCTATGTGAATATATTGAACTGACGATTCCAACAAGATCATATGAAGACAATACATTTATTAGGGATGATGATTTCAAGGTGAAACAAATTCATTCAAGTTAATATGGCTGATTTGTTTATCACATCTCTACCAAAGATCTTTTGAAGATGGTGCACAAGATTGGAATGCAAATGCTTAAAGATGTGAATTGATGCTCTCATCAGGGGGAGTTAATACGCGTTGTACTCTTTTTCCCTTACAATATTTTGTCCCACTGGGTTTTCCTTGCAAGGTTTTTAACGAGGCAACCAAAAGGCGTATTGTTAGAAATGTGTACTCTTTTTCCTTCTCTAGAATCTTTTTCCCACTGGGTTTTATTTAGTTAAGTTTTAACGAGGCACATTATCTGTTGAATAGACATTCAAGGGGAAGTGTTAGAAATAGAATTGTATTTAAGGTGAATGTTTATATTCTAGAGAGATTCTAGGGTTTGTTACTTGGTGGCTAAGTCATTTTTTCCCTATAAATAGAGGAGTTCTATTCTATTGTAATTGATCCCAAAATCAATAAGAATTCTCTCTCTACTTTTCTCTGCAATATTCTTCTTCTTCTTTTATTGTTCATAACAAGTATAAATATTTTCAAATATAGTGACTATATTTTTTTCAAATTTTCATTAAAATAACTTTTGTCGTATGAAATAAGTATCTTTTCCGGGGGCAAAATTGACAATATACAAGGAAAGCCTGTGCACAAAAGGAATGGTCAAAAGCATAACAAAATCGCCGCTCTTAAAACACGGGATGGACTTTGTGCCAAACTTTCCACTCTGGTCTGGCCCCCAATACTTTTGACTTGCCAGTCTGCCAAGTTATCATCTGCACATATAAATAGCTCCCATTTCCTCTTTCACAATCTCAACAACAAAACACAGAAAACAATTCGAACATTAACGAGAGAGATCGGAAAACAGCCGCTGAAATATGTCTTGCACGGTCGCTATTTCAAACTCGCCGGTGTTTTCGCCGTCTAGAGTTCCAGTACCCGCTTCTTCTTCTCCGTCATCGCCGTTACGGATTCTTCGTCTTCAGAAGACTTTACCTAGTTCCGTTATTAGAGCTTCGACCGATTCTACTTCTCCTACGGTTTTGAAGAGGAAGAGACCGTCTAGGTTGGATGTTCCTGCTTTTTCTATGAGTTTCGGAAATATTCCGGCGACTCCAGCTGCAGTGGCAGATTTGGTGGAGGCTGAGGGCGATGGATATTCTGTTTGCTGTAAAAGGGGAAGGAAAAGTGCAATGGAGGATCGTTACTCTGCAACGGTCAATCTTCACACAGATTCGAAACAGGGCGTTTTTGGTATATTTGATGGACATGGAGGAGCAAAAGCAGCAGAGTATGCCGCCGAGAATTTGAACACGAACATCATGAACGAACTAGGAAATACAACAACGGATGATGAAATTAAGGAGGCGGTGAAAAATGGTTATTTGAAAACAGATTCTGAATTTCTAAACCAACAAGTTCGAGGTGGATCGTGCTGCGTAACTGCATTGATCCGACATGGCAATTTAGTACTATCCAATGCCGGCGATTGTCGTGCTGTTGTGAGCAGAGGAGGCGTTGCTGAGGCATTGACTTCTGATCATAGGCCTTCAAGAAAAGATGAGAAGGATAGAATTGAGGCTTTGGTAAGCAGCTTGACGAATATAGTTACCTGCAATTACCTTTTAAATGACCTAATTGTGTAAATATTTTTTACACTGCCACGGCATAAAACTTAAACTCTTTGATTGACTTTGAATATTGGTTGATCTTTTTGTGCTTTGTGTTATGTAGGGTGGCTATGTAGATTGTTGTCGCGGCATTTGGAGAATTCAGGGATCTCTTGCTGTATCAAGAGGTATTGGAGATCAGTGTCTTAAACAATGGGTTACAGCAGAACCTGAGACTAGGATTCTTGGACTTAATCCTGAACTGGAGTTCTTAATCCTTGCATCTGATGGTTTATGGGATAAGATTAGCAATCAGGAAGCAGTAGATATTGCTCAGCCTTTGTGCAGTGGTATCACTACGCAGCAGTCATTGTCAGCCTGTAGAAAGCTAGTTGACCTCTCTGTTTCGCGAGGTTCTGTTGATGATATAAGTGTGATGATAGTTCAACTGGGAAAATTCTGTTGACGGAATTCCCCTATTTAGGTTAGGAAGATAACAACAGCTTACAGGAAATGCTAGAGATTATAAATATTTAGAATAGTTTACTAGTATGAACTAGCTTTTACCTCTGTAAATTGAATTGTTCTCAGATTCTTTATGGGCAAAACCCCTTTTATCCATTTGCTCGTTAGACAATGTTTATTTTACTTCTGATATGTATATCTTTTGATCTTTTTATCTTGACAATTTGCATTGTATGTAAGAGTTTCTTGTCTTTCAATTCTGGTACATCATTTTTCACTTGCTTAACATATTCATTAGTCCCCCCCCCCCCCTCCCCCCAACATTCCTTGTTTTTCAAATATGTTACTAGCTGAGTTATTTCAACAAAATTGACGATGCAGCCGATTTTATTGTTGCTTTGACTCATTACCTGCTTGTATATGATGTTCAACAGGTGCACCATTACATTACATTACATTAAAGACCAAAGCAATAAGTTAAAACAAAAGTAAAAAAAGAAAAAAGGTTAATAATTGCAGAATTATTTTTTATCAAACAAGTGGTTATAGCATAAGAAAGTGTCACGACCCGGAATTCCACCAATGAGATCGTGATGACGTCTAATATCACACTCGCTAGGCAAGCCAATGTTAGAGTTTTACTGACCATTTTCCTTTACATTTCATTTATTAATATTTAACAAGCTAGAACAGGTAGAATTAAATGTGGAAGTAAGTAAATAACCTTTTTATCCATATACTATTACCAATAACATTGCTATCACTACTCAAAATCCGGTGTCACAATCCACAAACGTACTATAATTTACTTCAAATATCGGTCTGAAAGAAATTACATCTGTTTTGAAAAGAAAGAAAAACAGAAATGTAGAAATGTAGAAGGGGACGCCAGGGCCTGCGGACACCAGCAGGACTACCTTGGGTCTCCAAATTGTGAACCTGCAACCAATCTCTCAATCAGCCACTACGTGCTCCAAAATCTGCACAGAAAGTGCAGAGTACAGTATCAGTACAACCGATCCCATGTACTGGTAAGTGCCGAGCCTAACCTCGACGAGGTAGTGACGAGGCTACGGCTGGGCAATTACAGTATAACCTGCATACAATATGTAATAAAGCGGAAAGAAGTACGAGACAAAATGAAACAGTAACTTGCAACAAAAATGAATACGGAACTCAAGTATCTTATCAGTACCCAGCTATAACCAATCCTTAAGTGAGATACAAAACTACAGAATAAATTCACAGCAGAAGAAGGATACATAAACACATAAACTGATGCGGCGCGCATTCCGATCCCACCATATAATCAGTAACAATATGAACATTCACCCTTATTACTCCATATCAATCCACCCTTATTCCTCCTATTGCGGCGTGCAACTCGATCCTACCGTACAATAGCAATTCACCCTTATTACTCCTCAATATATCATCCTTATTCCTCCTGTTGCGGCGCGCAACCCGATCCCACCATATAATAACATTTCACCCTTATTCCTCCTTAATGTATCACCCTTATTCCTCCTGTTGTGGCGTGCAACCCGATCCCACCATATCAGTACCAATCACATAATAAGAACAGAAATTTCACAATTTAGCTCAAACTCCCCACAATGTTTAAACCTCAACTAAAACAAACGGAAATCGGTACAATTATGAAACTTCACTCAAATTATATTACTCAACGAAACCAATCAAAGTATATAATAACACAAATAACCAGCTTAAACCAATAATATGAAACAATGAAACTACGTGATATCCAATACTTTTAATAACGAAAACAATATCCGACAAGTAGCAACAAATCATGGAAATATCAATAAAGCATGTAGCAGTTAAGGCAGGGAACAATATATTAAGAACGGGAAGGGAACAGTCAAAACAGATAAATTGGCGGCGCATAGGTACTCGTCACCTCACCTATACGCCGCACACATGAATTTTCACATAGCAATTATGGGTCCGGGTCCGTTTACTCAAAACATTGACCAAAGTCAACGAAAATTAACTTTTTAGGCCAAAAATGATTATTTCATTAATTTTTCACATAAGAGCTTTCCGGAAACGCGTCCGGACTGTGCATGCAAATTGATGAGGAATAAAATGAGGTTTTGAAGGCCTCGGAACACGGAATCGAGTTCTAAAACATAAGATGACCTTTTGGGTCATCACATTCTCCACCTCTAAAACAACCGTTCGTCCTCGAACGGACATAGAAAAGTACCTGAGCTGGTGAAAAAGGTGGGGATATCTGCTCCGCATATCGGATTCGGACTCCCAGGGAGCTGCCTCAATAGGCTGACCTCTCCACTGCAGTCGAACCGAAGGATAACTCTTCGATCTCAAATGACGAACCTGCTGATCTAAAATGGCTATCGGCTCCTCCTCGTAAGTCAAATCCTTGTCCAACTGGACAGTGCTGAAATCTAACACGGGGGATGGATCGTCGTGATACTTCCGAAGGATGAACACATGAAACACTGGATGAACTGCTGATAAACCTGGTGGCAATGCAAGTCTATAGGCCACCTCTCCCACTCGCTCAAGGATCTCAAAAGGCCCGATATACCTAGGGCTTAACTTGCCCTTCTTTCCAAACCTCATTACGCCCTTCATAGGCGATACCTGAAGCAACACTCTCTCTCCGACCATGAATGCCATATCACGAACCTTACGGTCTCCATAACTCTTCTGCCTGGACTGAGCTGTACGAAGTCTATCCTGAATGATCTTGACCTTATCCAAGGTATCCTGTACCAAATCCGTACCCAATAACCAAGCCTCCCCCGGATCAAACCATCCAACCGGCGATCGACACCGTCTACCATATAACGCCTCATAAGGAGCCATCTGGATGCTCGATTGATAGCTGTTGTTGTAGGTAAACTCCGGTAACGGCAAGAATTGATCCCAAGAACCTCCAAAGTCAATAACACTGGCGCAGAGCATATCCTCCGAGATCTTAATAGTACGCTCGAAATGTCCGTCCGTCTGAGGATGAAATGATGTGCTCAACTCGACCCGCGTACCCAATTGACGCTATACTGGCCTCTAGAAATGCCAGGTAAACTGCGTACCTCGATCAGAAATGATAGACACGGGCACAACATGAAGACGAACGATCTCACGGATATAAATCTCTGCCGATCGCTCCGAAGAATAGGAAACTGCCACAGGAATGAAAGTGCGCTGACTTGGTCAGTCTATCTACAATAACCCAAACTGCATCCTCTGAGTCCGTGGGAGTCCAGCAATGAAATCCATAGTGATACGCTCCCACTTCCAGTCAGGAATCTCTATCTTCTAAAGCAAACCACCAGGTCTCTGATGCTCGTATTTTACTTGCTGACAATTTAGACACCAAGCTACATATGCAACTATATCCTTCTTCATCCTCCTCCACCAATAATGTTGCTGCAAGTCCTGATACATCTTGGCGGCGCCCGGATGAATAGAATTCCAGGAACTGTGGGCCTCCTCTAGAATTACCTCACGAAGTCCATCCACATTAGGCACACAAACACGACCCTGCATCCTCAAAACTCCATCATCTCCAACCATAACCTGCTTGGCATCACCGTGCCGCACTGTGTCCCTAAGGAAAAACAAATGAGGGTCATCATACTGCCGACCTCTGATGCGCTCAAATAAGGAAGACCGAGCAACTGTGCAGGCTAAAAATCGACTGGGCTCAGAAACATCCAACCTCACAAACTGATTGGCCAAGGCCTGAACATCTAATGCAAGCGGTCTCTCACCGGCTGAAATGTACGCAAGACTGCCCATACTAGCTGACTTCCTACTCAAAGCATCAGCCACTACACTGGCCTTCACGGGATGATACAAGATGGTGATATCATAGTCTGCCTCAAATTGAGCTCCTTTTGTTTGAACAAATACTGCAAACTCTTATGATCCGTGAAAACCTTACACGACACGCCATATAGATAGTGCCTCCAAATCTTCAGCGCGTGAACAATGGCTGCCAACTCCATGTCATGAACTAGATAATTCTTCTCGTGAACCTTCAGCTGCCGCGAAGCATATGCAATAACTTTGCCACCCTGCATCAATACCGCACCAAGTCCAATACGAGATGCATCACAATATACGGTATAAGGCCCTGATCCTATAGGCAACACCAACATTGGCGCCGTAGTCAAAGCTGTCTTGAGCTTCTGAAAGCTTGCCTCACACTCGTCTGACAATCTAAACGGGGCACCCTTCTGAGTCAACCTGGTCAAGGGGGCTTCTATAGATGAAAACCCCTCCACAAATCGACGGTAATAACCCGCCAATCCCAAGAAACCACAGATCTCTGTGGCTGAAGTAGGTCTAGGCCAATTCTGAACGGCCTCAATCTTCTTAGGATCCACCTGAATACCCTCTGCTGATACAACGTGACCCAAGAAAGCAACTGAGCTCAACCAAAACTCACATTTTGAAAACTTAGCATATAACTGGCTGTCTCGCAGATTCTGAAGTACAATCCAAAGATGTTGCTCATGCTCCTCTCGACTGTAGGAGTAGATCACGATATCATCAATAAAAACAATCACGAAGGAATCAAAATAGGGCTTGAACACCCGGTTCATCAAATCCATAAATGTTGCTGGGTCATTTGTCAGCCCAAATGACATCACTAGAAACTCATAATGCCCATACCGAGTCCGAAAAGTTGTCTTAGGGACATCGGATGCCCTAATCCTCAACTGATGGTAGCCAGACCTCAAATCGATCTTTGAAAACACCTTGTCACCCTGAAGCTAATCAAATAAGTCATCAATCCTCGGCAATGGATACTTGTTCTTTATGGTGACTTTGTTTAACTGCCGATAGTCTATGGACATCCTCATCGATCCATCCTTCTTCTTTACAAACAATATCGGTGTACCCCAAGGCGAGACACTAGGTCTAATAAAGCCCTTATCAAGCAAATCTTGCAACTGCTACTTCAATTATTTCAACTCTGGCGGGGCCACGGTATGGAGGAATAGAAATGGGCTGAGTGCCCAGAGACAAATCAATGCAAAAAATCAATATTGATTACTAGCCTATGTTGATTTCTATTACTCCGGGGGTCTAACTTAGCTTTCTAGTAATCATCTTGGAGTCACCAACTCATTTCTCGAAATAAGGATATGACTTTATGGCATATACTCTTTTATAGTCTCAAAGTCTGTCATCTCTTGTCTTTTCCTTCACTTGACCATAGACTCTATCATCCTACCAT